TATGCTTGCACAATAATCATAGATTAATTAAGCGATATATTGTAATGTAAAGCTTAAAATGGGTAGCCGAAAAGGTTCCAAATGACGTACTAAAGTGCACTCATTCTTTTCAACATTTCTGACATAGTGGTTTTTGAGAAGATTTTAAAAGATGTCACTAAATTCAAATAATTATTACTACTGAACAAAAAAACTAAGACATGTATTTAATCTCCAAATACATATTACAAGAAAAATGAAAAGGCTGATTTATCAGATGTCTGAAGAAACTTGACATATCATAGTGATGTTCATCAATCCTAAACATATTTTTTTTTACCAAACTTTTCTCCCTACAGTTTTGCAAGGAATGCTGCCTGTCTCCCTTCGTGCTTGTGTGTGTGTGTTTGTCAATCTCTCTTTCCTTTCTCAAGTAAATATTCGTCAAAACAACATATTGACGACAATATATGCCGACCTTGACTGTATATATTGCTTCCGACGAGAATATGTGCTGGTGCTTGACTGTACTTTTTGTCGTCCATTTTGCAGGAGAAAAATAAGGCTCGTTTCGGTGCATATTATGTACAAAACGACAATATGTACCTCACAACCCTCACTGGACATATTGTTGTTCATCTGTACATATTTTGCCGGTTGAAAAGTTACACATGTACATACTGTCCCTGGCGACATTATGTGCCTTACCCTCACTGTACATATTGCCGCCCAAAAGATATGTTGCGTAAAGACTTTTTGTTGTTTTTTGGTATTTTAGTGAATGTATTTGGTGTGTAAATCAAATTGACGTGTCTCGTATGCTATTTCATGCAGCGTAATAATGATGAAACCTTCTGTCGTCATGTTCATATTGTCAACGGCGACAAGGCGACCCTACCATTACTGCGCATATTGCCGTCCATCAGTACATGTCAGTACATGTTGCATGGCAATGCATGGCATTGCTTCCATATAAATATGATTAATCATTGCTTTGCTGTTTTCGATATATATTCCTATATAAAACTCTGATAGCCCATTGTGGCCCAACCTAAGCCACGGGGGTCAAGAATTGAAGATTGGCACTACCTTTGGATGCTTTCATATAACCATCACTAACCACGTGTCTAATGCTGTTTTCAGTGGATGATCCAGAAATTTCAGAACCGGGGGGGGGGGGGGTCATAATTTTATTTGACAAGCAAAAAAAAAAAAAACAAAGCAAAAAAAAAAAAAAAAACAACAACAATAGCAACAAGAACAAAAGCGAAAACAGGTACATGTATATGTTAAGTAATTTATTTAATTATGGAATTTCTCCTGTGGTTTAAATTGAAAGTATATACAAATTAATTAAAAAGAATTTACACCCCCTCAAAAAATATCAAACTGGGGCGGTGCACTGGTACTAGATTCTTCTTTTGTTCTTGAAATTTTTTTTAAAGATTTTCTGCATATATTCCTCTGTAAAACTTATTAACTTATCGCCCCACCCTACCCCTGGGGGGTCTCATGTTTTGAACAAAATTGATTTTACTTTTGCTTGTTTCTTGTTTAAAGATGTATGATCCGATCTCTTTAATCTCAGAAAATTACCACCATCATTCATTTACAGTGTAAAAATTTATAACTTTCCGAAAATTATACACTCAAGTTCGCAACTGTTCAAGAGAAAAAGAAATTTGAAGGATTAAAAATTATTGTTGTCGTACGACAATAAATACGGGTGCTGATATTGCATATGAGCACTAACTAGTTTTGCTTCAGATGTAAACATGAGATAGAGTGCAGATTAAGCTGGTTATTTTGGCGAAATCGAGACACAAGAAAAGAAGAGCATGTAACACAATAAGCGTATAAATTATTTATGTTTAAATATTGTGTTAGAACTATTATTGATACTATCAGTGTGTAGAGCGACGGACAATAACCTCTTTATTATGAACTTGTTTACAAACTCTGGAAGATTGGATACATAAAGTGAGCGTCTTCATTTGACGGACAATTAGTTTTTACGATGTGTTCTCCAACATTAACACTTCCAATCAGACTTTGTGCAAAGCTGCAACCACCTAATTAACTGTAGAATGTGCAAGATACACAACATCAATGTAAAGAGAGGACATTGTCGTATCCAATAAAGAGATGCAGCGAGGGGCGGGCTTTATCAATATAAATGAAGTGACACTCTAATAAACTAATTGTTGTTACCAAATGTATGTGACCAATATGATGCAGTTTCTTGTACAAAAGATGTGCGCACTGAATATTGATATCTTTTAATATTTAAGCTCCAAGACTGACTGAGTGACCTTTCTAACATCTTAGCTCTTAGACGAACTATGAAAGCTTTTACGATCTTAGCTATGACACCTTTGTGATGCAATACTATGTGAGCTTTTACCATCTTGGCTCCGAGACCTACAGCCATTGAACTTTTTATGTACCATTGTTTTTGCCTTTGCTGTGACTTTATAATAAAACTATAAACTTACAAAAGTCTTCTTAATACAAACATATTGAGTAATTGTATAATAAGCAGTGGCCAACCATCCCCCTTATTGAATAAACAATTCTTTTGAACAAGGTATGAGGAAAATAGGTGATAAAGCCCTGAAATTGTACCAGAAAAAATGCACGTGTTTTACCTAAATGTTACGCAATCATTCTCGAAAAATCTTTACAATAAACATTCATGAGTTTTTGCTTCCAAAGAATTACTTTTTTTAAGTTACAACATAAGCATAAAACAGAGGATAAGTAGAAAGGATTTTTTTTTCGTCATTCGAATATAAAAATAGCTAATTTCCAAGGGTTAAAAATACATTACATTCGCGGATCGTACATTTTTAATGTCCTTATAAATTTTTTACTCATATGGATACTCCACCACTTGCCGGTGGACGGCTATAAATTTAGACCTATACTCGGCACTCAAGGCCATTGAATTGTGAGGGATCTTTTTTTTCGTGCAAGCACTTACAAATTGAACGTTCATTACGTAATGAAGCTTGTACATACATACTATCTCTTCTGACTTAGTAGATCTTGAGAAGAAGATTTTGAAAAAAAAAATTCTATATATTCTATGAAAATATTAGACTAAATACTGTAGCCCCACCCTTCCCCCGAGGGATATGATCTTTATAATAAAACTTTCATAAAAATTTAAACTTTTGTGACACAGTTCTTGTTTAGAAGATTTTTAAAAGATATCACTAAGTTTTCACTAATTCATAACCACTTCCCTTGAGAGCGGGCATGTTCCTTCATTTGAACAAACTTAAATTCACAGTACATATTGTCGCTGACGACAAAATGTGCCGATGCGTGACTGTACATTTTGTCGTTCATTATGCAGGAGGAAAAGAAAGCTTTTTTGACGGTACATGTCGTTTTGTACATATTGTCGTCGGCGACAATATATACCTACCCTCACTGCACATATTGTCGTCCATCGGCACATTTTGTCGCCGGTGACAATATATATATATGTACCGAGACGAGCCTTATTTTTCTCCTGCATAATGGACGACAAAAAATACAGTCAAGCACCAGCACATATTGTCGTTGGCGATAATATGTACAGTCAAGGTCGGCACTTATTGTCGTCGATATATTGTTTTGACGAATATTTACTTGAGAAAGGAAAGAGAGATTGACAAACAAACAAACACACACGGAGGGAGACAGACAGCATTACTCGCAATACTGTAGGGAGAACACTTTTGGGTCAGAAAATTGTGCCCAGGATTGGCATTTTTAGATCACCTGAACTAGAAGTGCAAGTGAGCTTTTCTGATCACATCGAAAAGAACATTATAGCAACCAACAAACAAACAAACAAAATAAATTTTGTCAAAATCATGACACCAAGGATAGGGTGGGACCACAATGGGTGATCAACGTTTTACATAAGAATATATACAGAAAATCTTTAAAAACCTTCTTAAAAAAAACAGACAGATGCAGAACCGGCGCACCCCCCCCCCTCTCCCCGTGGAGTGGTTTAATTTTTTGTTCTGCATTGTTTAACCTGTATATACTCTAAATTTAGTCCACAGGCAAAATTTTATACTTAGATAATTTACATAACATATACAATAACACACCTTTACATACAAATGACTGTAATTTTTTTTTTTTTTTTTTTTTTTTTTTTTTTTTTTTGCTGGTCAAGAAAAATTCTGAACCACCAGCACCCCCCCCCCGTCTGAAATTTCTGGATTCACCACTGAGAACAGCAGTAGACCCGTGATTAGATATGTTTATATTGAAGAATCCCCAGGTAGCTCAGATTCAAGTATCTTCAAAGCAAACCGGGCTTAGGGTGGGGCCACAATGGGCGATCATATTTTTACATATGAAAATAAGGGAAAATTCTTTACAAATTATCTTCTCGAACTCAGGCCTTCCTTAACGTAGCTTTAACGTAGCCGAGTTGTTATGACTTGATTGTCAGTTAAAAAAAAATCAATAAATGCTCCATGCATGGATCGAACAAATAACATTATTTAATCACTGTCGTGAACAGGTAACGTATACCACTGAGCTATCATAACTACTTACTTAGAGAGGGTTTTAAAATGACACTATAGCAACGCATTTACGAAGTGAGGTTTCTTTTGAATTTTTTATATATAGTTTCCGGGTCTTCTCTCCACTTTTTACAAATGTATGTTCGTTTCTTTGAATGAGAGTGCACTAAAATAACATTTAAAAATCGTGAAGAGATGACTCAGAGATTGCAAGTTTACAACAGAAAGTGTTTTTAAAATTATACATTATGTATCAAATGGTTCATCTTGCCATATTATAGAGCATTTTATTCGAAATTCAAATCGAAATATCGTGAAAATATTACCCTAATTTTTCTTACAGGATCCATTGCACCAAAATAACGATAAAATATTCTGTGACAGATCAATGAAATTTTCATTTCCCGAGCTGGGCCAGATTCATGCCGAATGCCAATCTAAAGCGCCCTAAATTGTTACGTGTATTTGACCATACTCACATATAGGCACTCTGATGTTGCACAGATCCCTTTCGCAACAGTTTGTACAGCTTTGCTCTGATCGTTTTCCAAATATACTAGACGTTTCCTGTCTCAAACAACTCTACAATACACAAATAATTCGCAATCGATAATAATGCAAGATTATACAATGATATATACGTTGTAAATACTGTGCATCAGTCCTTCACTATAATATCTCCGCAATTTTTGTAAAACAAAGACAATTTTAAGGATATTTTCAAAAGATTTCCGAAAGTTTTAATGATTATTTGTATAGATTAATAAAAATATATTATTTCACTATTTATTCAATTTGGTACTTGTAGGGATGGAGGAACGTTTAGAAAGTAAGTGTATAGTTTTGTGAAATGATATTTACTCGTTTCTTCTGACAAGACTGAGAATAAAATGCATCTCCAAACTCTCTTTCTAAGTGAATGTGACAGACCTATGAAAAAAAATATGAGAAATTCGCTTTATAAGTATGTTTTTATTTTGATACTTCTTAAAAAACCAAATTGTAATTAAATATTTATTCATCTTAATTCAGCGTGATATGATGTGATAGTACCTCATCTACATTACAGACATCAACTGTTTCACAAAGAGAGGGATTGTTCGACTGTGGACAGTTGAAACATAGTGGTCCTCTGTGAATTGGATATCCTAAAATTATAAAAGACCAACTGGTACATCAAGTGATTGTTTTTTTCTTATTATCTCTTGAAATAAAAAAAGGAATACCTTCTGAACCGCATCCATGTTGGTTACAAACATCTGTAGCACAGCATTCTGTACATTCAGCAAAGTGGGGCTGAAAATTTCTGTTTAACACCTCAAATGGATTTCCGAAAGGCTGAGATACACCAATTGGATTTGTTGTTGAATTACAAAACTACAAAAAATATTAACCATTAGAGTGCTGCAAATTTTAGGTACTATTGGTATTGACTTAAACAATAAGAAACTATCTTTAAACGCGTTGAATCCATTGTGTGATACATGTATAAGAACTACAAGTATACTTCACCATAAGAACGGTGGACACTTAAGCTGTAACAATAAAATATATCCTACTCCATCACTGTAGACCTTGACTTACTTCATTTTGAAATAATAATGATTGATAACAGTATCAAGGGTGTTTAAATATCAAAATTTATATCAACGTGCTGCTCTTACATGATCTACATGTATAATATTCACATGAAATTAAAATTACTAGCAACGGCTTTAATTTAACAAAAAAGAAAGGAAAGTGGTATATATACATGTATGTACTGTTCACTTACAGTTTCCTCCTGACATCCAATATTGTACAACTCTTGACCATTTATGTTGAGAATTTTTTCTGTGTAACAAAACTGAAAAAAAAAATGTTTAATAATGTGTTTTGGGTCAAAACATTCTTTAAATTGTTAAAATCAAATACGGTTCTAAGCAATTTAGAAATATGCTTGCTAAATGAAACATTTTTACTTAGCTGCAACTTACGATAAAAATATTTGAGAAATTCATTCTTTTGCCATGAACACAAATTTGATTTTTAACATGATAAGGAGATTTTCATGTACCGTAGCTTGCAGGTAAACTGAACATTTTTTTTTCATTAATGAAGTAATTATTTTTAAACACTGATCTATTTTTAATTAGATTACGATTATTGTAAACTACATTGTGGTAAACTTACATGGAAGTCCTTTATGATGGCGACATAAAAAAGTTTATGTCTGAATTTTTTTTAAATATAACACAGGAACATAAGAACCACAGAAATATTATTTAATACTTTTTGTATGTTTTTCAATATGTTTAGACTACATAAATTCATTTATTTGATAAAACGTCATCGATATATCTAAGTTTTGCATTGAAGGCCAGATTAATATTTTTCTTCTTCTAAGGAATGGGTTTTTAATAAACGCCACTTTATAGGAAATAAGAACAGGTCGGATGATGAAACATTACAAATAATGCCCATCGGGACTTCAGCAGATCCAAAGACTATATAGATATTGTCAATGAGGAACTCAAGCATCTTTTCAATATCTACTTCATATCCTCTCAAATCTCTCCATGTCCCCTTCTTTGAGGTCAATTTATTCTTTCTTTCACCTTTCCAAATTCCACCTTACATACAAATTCCAAATTTCCAAATTCCACCTTACATACAAATTCCAAATTTTTTTAGTCCATCTATCTTGATCTTAACTTCCCCTTTATCATTTTCCTCCTGTCTAATGAATGCTATACCATACCCTTCAACATTAAAAGCGCTGGAGGGTGTTTATCTATAGGTCAAATACACAATATCAAAAATACAGATAAAGTACACCTCTATTTTTTCTTTCCTTATCTGTGATAAACAAAGTACTAGACAAATGTTATTGAATGAAGAAATAGAATCCCTCACTCTGTCGTTATAATCTATTATCTCTATCATTAGCACCGACTACATATTATATTAGTGTATTCATTAATAATTTCCATATAAAGAGAAAAAAATGGGGGGGGGGTGTCATATGATTCCACTTCTATCCACTTCTAAGTGTTATTATGTAAACTTAGAATTAAAATAACGTGATTTAAAGAAAATGCACGTACCTCGCCATCTGCGCATTTTTCTACTGTGTGGCAATGTCTTGGAGAAATAACAGATTTGCAACTTAGGCAATACAAGGAATCTGATACAAAGAAAAATACGGAATCATTCAGCTCTCAATTTTATATTCAATGTTTAATCAAATGTTTCGTAGAAACATGCTCTTAAAGCGCCAGATGTTTTATATCAGTTCTATGACGAATTACTTGGATCAATGCAACAGAATAAATCTAAAATCTACAATAAAGCGTTTGTATTTTCTATTTCTTTTCTCGAATTAATTGATAATATTCAGAAATTTCTTACTTACCTGCTTGCATCAGCGATATTTGTCCACAAATACATGCAATAAGATAGATGAACCCTAAAGTACAAATTGAAATTTTGTCACCTAAGTATATATCAGTTGAAAAATGGCTAATTAAATAAAAATTAAAAAAAGATATATATATATATTTTAAATTACTAAATGACCGGATTACCTGTTTGCATAAAAGTCATGTTTCCTTCGCAGATTAACAAATAAGATATTGAGACCTCTTTTCTTCTTTTATCTTGCTTATAATGCAACGTGTAAGTATCACGTTGACAGGATTGTACAGTAAGGTAATGTACTTTTAATAATAGGTCAGTAAACTGTTTAATACATTAAATCCTATGATGCTTATCTTTATTATTCAACGTTTGTAGTTATAGAATACTACATTGAAAGTTGAAGGGGAAAATAATCTGTGAAAAAGGATGCCAGAAAAGTTTGAAGTTTAAGTGGTTACAAAGAATAGTTATAATTATTAACCAGTAATTCAAAGTTATCATTTAAGGAAGCGATTGCAAGGCGTCACGTGATCGACTCATGTGATGTTTAAAAAAAGAAAATTTACGGTAACCATTTGCGGAATAACAGCTGAATAAGGAGCGTGATTATGATTACGCCCATGACAAAAGGTCTTCGTGGCAATATTTTTAAAACAGAGAAAGAAAAAGATAAAGATGTGATTTTGCAGAGTGTTGGTGAGCGTCGACGCAGATTTTTTTCATCCCTGTGTGTGTGTGTGTGTGTTTTCCCGTTTTGACACGTCTACCTTTTGTCGTAGTTCTGAACACTGAAATCTATTTCATGAATAAATTTAATTCACATCTGGATCTTTCTGTCCTCTAGTTTTATTTAAAATATTAGAATTTTATTTGAGATCGGTTTCTTTACTATAGGATCTAGATCTATGAAAAGATTTTCATTTCCTAGAGGCTTCAGACGGCGTGATTTTCTCAGTGATTATAATGAATATAGACCTAATAGATATGGATGAACAGATAAAGGAATGCGATTTTCATACATACGTGTATAGACCAGTTTGAGATCGCACATGCTGGACATGAACGTATTTCTAAAAAATATCGCAGAGGAAATTGTTTTCCTCTGTAAGATCTTCTCTAGCAATTTCAACTCTTACATCGACCATGTAAACATTGAGTCGTCGGCACACATATTGCGTAAACATTTGTTGTAGTAAAATGTTTAAATTAATGCGTCGTATTTGGTGAAAAATTGAAATTCAACACACTTCTTCTGACAGCAAAGAAAAGTTTCTTTTTGCAAATTGTTACAAATCTAGCAAAAAATACGCGTGTAAAAATGACAGACGAAACTAAGAGAGGTTGATTCTGACAATCGAGGTACTACGGAGGTACCAGTTATACCAAAAAAGACAAAATTATTTTGAGCATATACATTTAAAAAAACCATTTCAACTCATCATGCTCACGGGGAATATATTTGAAAAATGATTTTTTATTTATTTATTTTTTTTTTAAATTCAAGAGGACATGAACAAAAACGCTTCACCTCAGCATATTTCATGAACTGCTTGACCATGAAGCGCAAAATTATAAATTACAATGTCACTCAACGATTATTTTTGAAACAAAACAGTTTACACTATAGTTTTGACGTCAAGTGTGACATTATGACTTCACAACGGAGCTATATAGGCTTACCTAGTTCATGAGAAACTGAATTGTTTTCTAACTTGCAATGAATCTAAAGGAAAAATATTTGCAAATGAAAATATCAAATAGCAAATCACTAAAATTTGTCAAATAAGATAATAGCTAGGATTTTTATATACGGTATATATTGCAGGTACAAGTTCTCTGAAATAAGGCCATTCCAAGTTTTTTCCATGTTTAGCGTCCACCCTTCTTTCAAAAACCTACCTACCTATTCGCAAAAAACACACAAACCAAAAAATAAAACAAGACTTTATAGTCACAAAAATGACGTCATTCAAAGGAATTGATTTCGTTAATATGGTTAATCTATCTTTACTCGTAGAAATATCTATTCTTCAGCAAAATCAAGGTATTAAATGCTTACAATATTCCTAATATGGCATACTGTAGACAAATATTTAGAGAAATTGACAGAATTCATGGATTTCGACCAGAATATTCAATTTCAGGAGTCCTAATTTTGTTTGTTTTTTTTCTGATATGGGGTGTCAAAAACCAAGGCGCACGCGGACGCTAAACATAGAAAAAACTTGGAATGGCCTAACCTATTCATTCATCAGGAGGTCACGTGACGGGGCAGTCGACAGACGTGTCCGATAATCGCTCCGTCTTTTTGACAATTTTTCTTTGGATTTAGCTTTCTGTTGTGTATATATTGTTTACAGTGGATTTATGAAGTGTTTTTCTTTTCAATAGGAAGTTCTATAAGACAGAAAAAGTTTATTTTTGTGTGTATTTTTTGTGTTATCATAACTGTTTAATACAACCGTGTGCTAGACGTGGAGGTGAATGAAGCTCACTCAACGTTTTCATAGAACAATGGCTTTGGAGCAAACAAAGATGTTAAAACCTGTCTACTTGAGACATAGAGATATTCAGACGGATAAGAGTAATCCTATTACAGACTATAATTTAACGTGTGCGGTGGGCAGTGTTGTTTCCGATATTAATTGTATCCAAAGGGATAGAGACCTATGGAGAATTTATGTTGAATCGCGCGAAAGTCGGAATCTCCTTATATCTGAGGGTTTCGAACTGCGAAATAAAACA